TGCTGTATCAACCACCTATTCTGACTCTGGACCTGACAAGTACATGCATTCCTATTCCTCATTTATAAATAGGAGAACATTATCGTTGTTTGCACCATGGCGGTTGTGTTGCCATCATTCTTCTGGCCACTGCTTTCACCTTTGCCCTTCCTTAGATTTAGGCAACCTCTTTTGAAGTGACCTGGTTGATCACAATCATAGCAATTTCTGGCTCTTGATTTGGATCGGTTCTTAGACTTTCCACGAGCTCCGGATCTACCATAGTTGCTCGAACTCCTTTGATAACTCCTGCCTCTACCTTCTGTGATGAGATCCTGTCCTTGATTTTTCGGCTTCTTTCTCATCTTCTCATTGAGTAGAAGAGCCGATGTGACATCTTTTAACTCAATGGTAGTTTTACCGTGCAGGATGGTTGTTGCTAAATTATCGTACGAAGATGGAAACGAGTTCAATAGCAAGATCGCTTTATCTTCTTCCTATATTTTCACCCTGAGGTTGACGAGCTGTGTGATTAGTCCGTTAAATACATTTAAATGTGACAAAAAATTTGTATCTTCACCCATATGTAGGGCGTATAGTTGCTTCTTCAGGTACAATTCATTTGTCAGTGTTTTGGACATGTATAGGCTTTCCAACCTTGTCCAAATGCCACATGCGGTGTATTCATCAATGATTTTATTTACCATATCATCTGAAAAGTGCAACCTGATTGCACTAGCAGCCCTTTCATCCAAGTCAGCCCAATCCTCAGCTTTCATGGTATCAGACTTTTTGGCATCAACATCTAGTACCTTGTGTAATCCTTGTTGGATGAGAAGATCCCTCATCCTTCTTTGCCATGTTGAGAAACCTCTATCTTCGTTAAATTTTGCTACCTCGTACTTTACTCTGGACATTTTTATTTTTCACCGAGTATAGTACTACCGAGAGTGAATAGTACTTCTATGAATGAGCAGAACCTGTGTTCTGATACTAGTTGTTGAGAATAAACCCCCTACAGAAATAATATTTACGGTAATAAAAGAGGAATAATGACGTAGCACCGAGATACGGTAATTAACAAGAATAAAAGAGTAACAACGACACCAAGATTTTTACGTAGAAAACCCTTTTGAATAAGGAAAAAAACCACGGCCCCGAGAGGAGCAACTGATATCACTATGGTAAGGAATTTTACAGTTTATAGGTCCGAGTAAAATACTCCAAAGACCACTATAACACTAAAAAAAATAACTCTCTTTTGATATTCCCACCTCACTACAATATCGCTCGCTCTCTATGTTTCTCACAAACTATTTTCTTATACCCTGTCTGTTAAACCTTACTCTTTCTTTCTAACTCTCAGATATATTTTTCCTCTGAGATTGGTGTGTAGAGATGAGAGTCGAAGCTCTCCTTTTATAGGCGGAGCCTCACTCTCTCACGCCTATTATATTTGACATTTTTCTCTTGCGCCTACAATGTCGACAATTCAAAAGAAACGGTGGCTGCCAATTTAGAAAAAGACTTAGAACTAAGGAGGAATAAGATAACCTTATGGCCCAAGGAGACTAGATGTAGGTACCGCATCGGTACGTGAACCTGTATAATCCAAGTCTATTTGCATTTTTACTTTCTGCCATTATTCAAAAAACTGATACATCTAACTCTTGAACAAGTAGAAGAATTTCTGTACAAGTGAAATCGTCAATGATAGTCGGGAATTTAGAACATAATTCACCCTCCCTGTTAATTTTTTTTAAAAAATCAATAGTACAACGGTAGGATGATATTTGATAAAAAGGTGAAACAGAGAGTAGATATAGCTTATTTGCGATAGTAGAGATATAAATATGATCCTTTTCGTAAATGAAATGGTTGTTAGGGAGAACATGACAACAAATAGTACCTCATATTTGGGGTATGTTCGTAATAATTCCTTAAATTTACTTCTAGGCAGTTTTTGTCCGTTGAATGTATCAAAAGTGAGTACTTTTAATCTTCATCAAATAGTTAGCATACTCTGGTTTTTAGATTAAAGGAAATAGATTTTTTTTTAAAAAAAGAATTTGATATGAACTCACAGTTGGAGATGCAATTCATATATTTTCTGTTATATTATATCTATTTCAAGATTATGTGCAGCTCTTTGGGTGTCAGTTTATCAAAGTCGATTCGAGTTAATTTTTTAATTTTTCTTAGACAAATCGAAGTCATCTCAGTTCTATATTCTAATCTCTCTTTTATCTTTTGCGCAAAATCAACCATTATCCTAAAATCAGGTTAGACGGAAACAAAAAAAAAAGCACATTTGCTGAGATCATGTATTTTTCTTTGTAAACGGAAAAAGGCCAAAACTGCCCCTAATGTATCAACTCTAGTCTAAAAATGCCCTTCGTTAACCTATTTTGCTAAGAATGACCTACCGTTTTGTTTTAACATTTTATTAATTCCACATGGCTATTTCTGAATGGCTATTAATTAAGGCACACCCCAAATCGGATTTTACCCCACCCATAACCCAAATAGACCGACCCGACCCAACAAATATTATTTTACTCCCCCCAAAATACCCGATGTTAGCCAAACTTCTGAATTTGTTTTTGTTCCTACACCTGGAATGAGCCTAATGACAACAACCCAAGACACACATCAACAAAACACCTCAACTCATAGTGAAACAACAGCACCAACAGCAACATCAACAGCACCAGCAACACCAACATCAGCACCAGCACCAGCAACACCATCAGCTGTTCTGGATGATGACTATGACTATGAAGATGGAGATGCAATATTTGAAGATGAAGATGAATATCTAGTTTTGAGACCTAAGGTGATATCTAAAGCTAAGACTAGGCTTCAAAAGAAAAAATTGAGGCAAATGCCAACTGGTACAAGAAAGATTGCGTTCAAGGATGATGAATCTGGTGCCAATGTGCCTACAAGCTTGCCCTATTCATCAAGGAAAGTCACTTGGAAAGGCAAAGCAGCAATGACATCAAGACAATTGTTGGTAGAAAAGGAAAAATTTTTTGGTAAATTGAAGGCTAAGAAGATCAAGCTCTTGGGACCTCAATTGTGTTTGAATGACTAATTTTTAACTTAGGAAACGAAACTATGTTTTTGTGATGACTGATTCATAACTTATTATGTATTGTTTTTGTCGTGAATCAGTTGTGGAAGTTGTATTGATTCACCCCAAAAATCTTTTGTTGGGCTTATATTAGGGTGAAGCACATTGTGATAATTTGTTGTTAAGTATTTGTTGGCTACATATAACAATGCCTTGTTATGTATTGATTGTAAAAATTGTTGTATTGATGTTGTTTGTTTTCGAATGTGCATAAGATGATGTTGGTTCTTGTGGCAGTACTTTAGATTTCAATGAGCATAATATACTAATGGAAACAAAAATGAAAACGACAATACAAAAATACAGTACAAAGATCATAACCCTTACTAAGCAAAACTCAACTACAAAGACAACTGCAAATTTAACCTAACTAAAACCTGCAAATTTCCTTCATTTAACAACTATGCCAACAATCTGCAATTTTGTAAGACATAACATCATAACCCTTACTAAGCAAAATAACTTCTCTACATCATCTTGCAGATTTTGTAAGTCACAACGACCAACAGATTCCTATTAACCACATTTGGACACTACTAACCAATACAACTTCTTTACATCATTTTTTAAGCCACAAATATAACAAAAACAACCCATGACCATATTATAAACTTTTTCCATTGCTTCAATTTCAACTCCAAATTTGAAACTTTCTCCTCCAATGGAGATACATTATTCAAATTTCCAGCTTTACTACCAACCACATCATCGACCATCTTCCTAAACTTATTCCTTTCTTGACGAAGAGCATCATCCACTGTAATTTTTTGCTTGTGGATAAACATTAATACATGAGGTGGAAATTCTTCATCGCGCCATTCTCAATAACGACAATCATTACTCTCGTAACGAGGACATCTATAGAATCTACGACCACCATTCATAGGTGTCGTTGCAGTAAAATAATTGGCTAGCAGTCCGCAATAACAAGCACGAGCATCACCTGGGTCACGAGAAGAAGTAGAAGAAGATTCTGCCATTTGAAGCTTAAAAAGAAACGAACTTAAATTTATCAAGATTTCGAGTTAAAAGATTGGAGATGAGAGATGAGAGAAATTGCTATAATTTGGTAATGAATTGGGTGGAAAATGCCCTAACATCGGGTGTTTTTTTTGGGGGGGGGGGGGGGGTAAAATAATATTTGCTGGGTCAGGTCGGTCTATTTGGGTTATGGGTGGGGTAAAATTCGGCTTGGGGTGTCTTAATTAATGGACAATAAAAAATAGCCACGCGGAATTAATAAAATGTTAAAACAAATCATATCTCACTCGTTAGAACTAAGGGCACAAATATGCCAGATTTTTAACGGTAGGGTCCTTCTTAGCAAAATAGATTAACAAAGGGCATTTTTAGACCGGAGTTGATACGTTAGGTGCAGGTCTGGCCCTTTTACGCCTTTGTAAAAGATAACGTAAATAGCTAGAAAAAGAAATAACTGGTCTCAATCTGCTAAATATTTAGGCTCCGTTTGGCCATGAGTTTTGCCAAAATAAATTTGGGATTTATTTTCAAAACTCATGTTTGGCCATAAATTTTGTCCATATTTTGGCCAAATCCCAAATCCCAAATTTCAAATCTCAAAATCAGCTATTGAGCTGATTTTGGGCCAAAATCTCAAAACTTGGAAATTATATACATGTTTTTCCAAAATAAAGTTGGAAAATATATTTTGAAAACGTATGTCCAAACACATTTCATCTTCAAACCAAACTTCACCCAAATCAGATTTTTCAAAACAAATTTGGGATCTATGGCCAAACGCTAGCTTAAAATTACAGGGGTTTAATTCCCACCTTTTCAATCTGCTTTCCACTTCTGAAAAATCTTAAGGGGGCTAAGTGTCAAATCCAACAAAATTATGAGTATTGAAAAGTACAAATCTAATCCACTCCCCACTCTTCCCTCCCTCTGAAGTGAACAACCATGAGCGCTGCTCAGCTCTTCTTCCCGCTTCCACCAAACCTTTCAACCTTCTCCACTACACCTTCTTCACAAGCCCTTTTCATCATTTCGTTTGCTAAGCCAATTTCCAACAACCCCCATTTCGTTAAACAAAGTGTAAGTTCAAAAAAGCGGGCGGATTTCAGGGCATTCGCGGACGACGGAGATGCTGACGGCGGAGGACCAGATGACTATGACATGGACGAGGATGAAGTGGAAGAAGCCGATAACAAGAAAGATTTTGATGTTGACTATGATACCCTCTTAGGTGGTGCTTCTTTAGCTGTTGCTGCTACTGGTGATGAAATTGCGATGGTTCATAGCAGTAGCTTTGTGTTTACTCAAGGATGGGACTCCGAGAAAATCGTGGACTATAGAATTAATGAGGAGGAGTTTCATAAAATTAGCCTCCTTGATTGTGATTTCTTCATTCGTAAACCTCCTGACCCTGATAATGATGTTTATGACTTTCGTGAGGTTATTATTCTGCAGCCCTCTTGTTTCTTTTGCTTGCATTTATCTAGTGTTGAGTACTAGCATGGTGCTATATTTTGCACATATGTTGAGAAGTGCATTATTTAAGTACTGTGCCTAGTGCTATACCCATAAATGTGTATTCATATAAGGAGTGGAAAGTGAAAAATCGTTGCTTTACTGAATTTTGACTGAAAACAAATGGTTATCAGGGTTATGAGTTTTCAGGTTCAAATCCAGGCAAAAAACACTAGGTGATTTCTTCATATCTGCCCAAGTTTTAGTGGGCAGAATTACGCGGTACCTGTGCCGATCGGAGGTAGCAGGTATCTATTGGAATAGTTGAGGTGTGCACAAGCTGGTCCGGACGCTAACGTCAATTAAGAAAATATAAAATCAGGGTTGTCTCAAGGGAGTTGACCTAGAGGTTGGCTCAGGGAGTAATAACCTATATATCTCTATTGGAAACTTAGCTATGATACCTGGTGACCATCTGCTCCAAGCTTGATGGCAGGATTACCTTGGTAACCTGTGCTTGTGGGCTGGACGGGCGGCCGATGGATTGGTCAAGATGCACAAGCTTGCCTGCACACCACAGATGTATTTAAAGAAAAATAGGCGTTTGTCTTACCATGTTACATGAACTCAAATATGGGTTTTTGTTTTGTATGTAACTGAATATCCCGTAAGCGTAGTTCAATTTGAGCTAGGTTTTTAGAGTATTTTGAAGGATTGCATCTCGTACTCCCACGCCCATGTGTATGTTGAACACGGGTAGGTCAAAGTAAATGAAATTATAAGAACGTTTGGGGTTAGGGGAACGCAGATATTGAAATTTGAATTTTAGTTCTTGTGTTACTTTTGATTTCAAATGCCACTAGATTGTTTTCTTTTTCTTATTTTTATTCCTTCTTCCCGATCCCGCTGTCTGCACCTTGCTTTTCTTTCCATTCCCCCATATGTAATGCTGGACAATTTAAATAATATGCTAGCTGATGAAGTATCATTTCTATTTGGTATGCAGATGTATGTTACACCACCAGATACCGATATATATGCCATTCCCAGAGTTCTTGCACCAATGCCTCAGAAGGTATCATGTTAATAAAGTTTATGATTATGGATGTGATATGACTTACATTTGAATACTTATGATTCATCTTACAGTAGATTTAGTGTTTGTGTTACTTATTGATCAAGAACTTGTTTTTATCATGTAGTATATTAGGTGTGCGATGAGTGATTATGGGTGCTACAACGTGACAGAGCCTCCCATTGATGCACCTAGAGATCCTATGTATAAATCAGATAGGGAAGTTTTGAAGGTATGGATGTCTTCCATTTCAACCGATTAGAACATTTTTTCTGTCATATGCTGTCTATGCAGTTTATTTTGCTAAAGATATTAAGCTTGTGAGGTAGTATTAAATTGTAAAGTCAAATGCAAGCTGGATAATTACATCGGATGAGCTTCGATGGAGACATAAGAAAACAAAAGAGGAAAAAGATAAAGAAACGCAATTTTAACATTCTTGCTTTATTTTTTTTTTTTGCCTTTACTTTTGCTTTTGGTTCTATAGCGAGGCAAATCTTCCCCCTTAATCCTTTTTCTTTGTTTGTCTTTGGATGGAGGCCCTAAACTTTTTTTCCCATCTTTGGTGATTATTTAAGAATTTTTGTTGTTTAAGCCTTATATTCTGACGTCTGACCTCTTGTACTCCATCCATGTATCCTGAAAAGAAATCATCAAAATTTTGATGGTTATATGACACTATTATCACATTCAAGGACTTCTTTTTAATGAGTCTATGACATTCAAGTACTTAATCCAAAGCATTTCATCCTGCATTCTATGGGTTGTATGATCGGTGAGTCTTTGTTGCAGGTATTCTTAACAAAGCACTATAGAAACCGCAGGGCTGGTGATCCAGAATTTGCTCTTGATTTTGAAGAAATATACGTTATTGATTCGAAAACCAAATCAATCACCAGAGCCAAAGTAGTGGTAAGGGGTGGTGACAACTTTGTTCTAATGCTCTTTTTCTAGATTTGCTAATTTTTTATGCATCAAGCAACTTATCTGATAAAGTGCTTATCTTTTATTTCGCGTAAATAACTTTTTCATTTTCATATAGCTGAATCTGCTCCTCTGTGTAAATGTAGCTCTAATGCTGAAAAATCAAAGAATTTGATGGTTAGTATTTTGAAGATATATGTTTAACAATTAACACCCCTCAGCAATCAAGTCTGGCCAAATTTTACAGTGCAAAGGAGTATAGGAATTTAAGGAAATGTTTGTGGTGTTCAAGGGAAAGGGTATAGGGGTCAGGAGTTTGGGTGGAAGAGAGTGAAGAGTACATGGTGGAAACTGAAGGACTTAAGTTTAAATTTATTTCTTTTGTTCCATGAAAGAGGGGGAAGGGTAATGCTGCGATGACTGTCTTGCACAGATCAGGATTAATTATTTTGTTTGTGATAGAGCAGGAATAAATTGATAATTACTCCCCAAAAACATATACGAGTCCCGGAAGAGCCATTTCCACTTTACTGATAGGCTGGAATGACCGTCTTGCACAGATCAGGGTTAATTGTTGGTTTTTCTTTTTTGTTTTTTTGGCGATAGAGCAGGATATTACTCCCCACAAACAATACCATCAGAGCCATTTCCACTTTGCTGATAATGCCAAAGGATTTCACTTTTTGAACGAAATGGGGGTGAGGGTGGAGGGGGTTTGTTTAATTGCTCTAAGTGTAGATTTGTAGAGAAGTGCAAATCAGTCCAAAAGGGTTAATTAACTGTTTGGACTACGACTTGGATGCCCAAGCGTAGTCTTCAGAGTGCGATTGAGCACTTTAGGAGGAGCTCCAAGATTTAGAATTTTCCTCCATCAGAGCTGCTTCCAAAAGGTGTAATGTCTTCATTTGGAGCTGCTTTCCTTGCATCGACAAGCATGGACAGATTCTCAGATGAACTAGAGAATGTTGATCCTCTATCTCGGTACTGCTTCTTTAGAACGCCTCAAGATTTCAGTAGAACAGTCAGGTGGGAAAGAATGTCTTACTGAACAACAGTTACCTTTATCTGTAATATTTCTAATGGACTCCACACTTCCTGCTTTTGTTTGCTCGATGGATGGACATAAAACTGTTACCCTTACTCCAACTGCTAATTCTGATTTGCATTAAATATCTTTCTTTGCCCAAGACCATATAAGGAGCCAAAGACCCATCCACAACCAATGTGGGACTCAAACAATATTGATCAACATCCTGTAGGGCGGGGTATCTATGCCAAGTAGTAGACCAGCTATAAGAATGGAAGATTTGAACTTGAATTTTTCCTATCCATTCGGATGTAGAATCTAAAGGACATCTGTGTTAATCAACACCAATAGGGTGGGGATGTTTATGCCAATGAGTACACCAGCTATAAGCATGGTTGATTTGAACTTGAACTTGTCCTATCTATTGAACATTCGGATATAGTATGAAGACGTGGTGTCTGTGGTTTGACTAGCTTACATGTTTTGCCTTTCCCAAATATTTATACACTTTGGTTGCTCTCTTTATTGTTAGTTTTAAAAAGTTTTTTTTTTTCATTCTAAAATAGGTAACAGTTCCCGGAGGAAGAAACAGGGACAGGAAGAATGATTTGCTTGTCATTCGTGATAGTGGGAACTCGTTCAAAATTATACCATCAGTGAGTATCCTGAACTCAAATTCTTGCTTATCTTTGTATTATTGTGGCTGTCTTTCCATGTCTGATGAGAAAGCATCATGTTACTTTTAGGAGGAAAGAGATGATCCAACCACTGTGATAGAGAAAGAGGAGTGGAAGAAGTCAAGGCAAGACATGGAAAGACACCTTAGGAAGCTAAGGGACTTCAGTGTTTCAAATTGGTTTTAGTTGGTGAATGAATATCATCGTCAAATATTTATGCGCTAGTTGGCCTTATAATTGCTGGAAGAGCTGGAAGGATTGAATACACTAGTAGCAAGGAAACAACTGGGTTGACATAAAATTGTTCATGTTGCTGATTGAGCCAATGGCTTCCAAAGTTCAAAATCGTAAACGTTCATTGTCAGTGCTAGTATTGGCTTATGAAAATGATCACAGTATGAAGGTTTAGGATGGAGTTTAGGTAGAAGGGTCTCTGCAAACTTGAAGCAACAGCATTATGCAGGGAAAGTCATCGTCTTCGAAATAAAGATAGTTGTGCATGTTCTCTCCTTATTATGGACGCTGGAAGCAAAGTACAGTGCAATGGAGTTTTCTTTATTTCAGGTTTTTTAAAAGCAATTTATTACTGTTTTCCAGTCAATCTGCTTTTTGTAGTTTTATCCGTTGTCTCTTTAACTTTGCTGATGCAGTAAAGTACTAGGAGTAGCTCTTTGATTGAACATAATCGAACAGTTTAGATAAGCTCATAACTAAATGTGTAGGGACTGCATTATGACGTTTTATGACTAGGTTGCATTAAGAGATTGATGGAATTATAACTTGGTAAAAGCATCAAATTGAAGATATATTATGACAAGCATGTAAAACATGTACGGATGTAACCTAACTAATGCCAACTTCTAGAGAAAAGATAGTTGTACGGAAGCAATGTACGAGCCATTTTATCTTTGGCACACCTATTAAGAAAATAAAAACACCTATTAAGAAAATACAAGAGGGGTTGCTATGTTAAGCAACCCCCACTCTTCCAACCAAGAGGTTGTGAGTTCGAATCACCCCAAGAGCAAAGGTGGGGAGTTCTTGGAGGGAAGGATGCCGAGGGTCTATTTGGAAACAACCTCTCTATCCTTGTTGTTGTTGAACTCCTAGAGAAAAAGAGATGTATTCACTAAATTAACTTTAACTAATTGTTATCTTGACACATTGGAATATGTAAATAAGGGCAAATTTTGGAAAAAGAAAATTACAATTCCTTCTTGATTATATAAATGGACATTTATTTTGAACCAAAATAAAGGTAAAATGATTACTTAGTGTGGACCGGAGGGAGTAGTAATTAAGATTTGCGATAGACTGAAATTATAAATGTCACGACCCAAAATCCACTAGAGGTCGTGATGGTGCCTAACATCGCCGTCAGGCAAGCCAACAGTGAATGTTTAAATTAATTACTCATTTTAGTATTTTTGAAATCATAATTTTCATCAATTAAATAGTAAGAAATAGAATTTACAGGGTTACTGATAATATTTTCACAACTACAATAAAGGACAACCCGTAAGCATCCCCAAAAACGGTGTCACAAGTGCACGAGCATCAACTAGGAAATAAAATAAAATACAACATCTGTCCGAGATACAAATTAGACATGAGAATACAAATAACTCTGATGGAGACTCTGCAGGCTGCAGATCTTAACATGAAATGCAGCTCACGGGAAGTCCCCGTAATAGCCGCGCCTCTACGCCCAAAAGATCACCAAACATATATGTACCTGCACATTTCCCGCAATAGTCGCGCCTCTGCGCCCAAGGATCACTGGACATATATGTACCTGCACAAAAATGTGCAGCAAGTGTAGCATGAGTATGTAAATCAATGTGTACCCTGTAAGTATCTAGCCTAACCCTAGAGAAGTAGTGACGAGGGGTCGACATCGACACTTACTAGTGGTCCAATAAGACAGATACAGTAAGAAGTAAACAAATATGGGGCAGAGTAAATTAATGAATTAAACAAGTGTAAATACGTGATACAGTCATCCTTTCTACAATAGACTCAAGCTCTCAATTAGCAATAACCTCCTCAACCGGAACACACACACACACACACACACACACACACACACACACACACACATATATATATATATATATATATATATATATATATATATATATATATATATATATATATATATATATATATATATATATATATATATATATATATAACGAACCTCACCAGATAGGTTGTCATAATTCAAATTAAGAAGACTCATAGATACACTGACTTCTTGTCAGATATTATGCACGATTTCCATGAGAGTATTTTATAGAAATGCCGAGGCGTACGGCCCGATCCCATCATAATCTGTGCACTGCCGAGGGTCGAACGACACGAACCATAGATACATCTATTATACTACCGAGGCAAACGGCCCGCTCCTATGAGAGTGTGGTACATAATCCTGCCGAGGCGAACGGCCTAATCCCATCATAATCTGTGCACTGCCGAGGATCGAACGGCACAAACCATGGATGTATCTATCCTGCCGAGGCAAACGGCTCGATCCCATTAGAATAAGAAGCTTTGATGGATCTTTAACCACACTCACGAAGGAACATGTAAGTTATAAGGAGCTTTGAGGAAACCTTTCGATAAGAACGCATAACGCGGGAGAATTCGTAAGACGAGTACAATTATTCTGCGGCCAATCATGAAACTCGTCAAATCTCTACAATAGCAAGTCTATCACTCTACGTCCATCTAGTCTCAAGTAGTAATGCGAAGTAAAAGAATTTAATAAGCAAGAGATAACCCAAATAGTACAGTTATAGCATGGCGTGAACCTGAGTCTACCTGGACAATAACATGAATGTAGCTACATACAGACTCTCGTCACCTCGTGCGTACATAGCCCCCGCAACAAGTAACATATATCAATTACAATACCTAGGGTTAGTTTCACCCTCACAGAGTTAGACAGGAGACTTACCTCGCTCCGAAGTTCCATAACCGGCTCCAACGACGCTCTAACACCTCAAATCGGTGTCTGTCGCTCCAAAACTAGTCAAGCAATGTGCAAATAATAAAAATATACACTAATACTCATAACAAATCAATTTATAATAATTCCCAACTCCGCTCGAAAAGTCAATAAAGTCAATCCTCAGGGCCCACGTGGCCGGATTGTAAAAATTATTGAAAATAAATATTACCCATAACTCATATGGTCTATATCCAGAAAATCATCCAATTTCGTCCATGAATCTACCCTCAAATCAAGGTTTTACCATTTCTCAATTTTGGGGCTCAAAATCTCAATTTCTACAATCCAAACACGAATAAAAATAATAACCAACGGAAATAATCATGGAGAAACATCAAAATAAAGGTCATATGTTTACCCCCCTGTTGATACGAGAATAACGCCGCAAAAATCACCTCAAACGGAGCTCTAGAACTCAAGATACGCCCAAAATACTAAAATTCTCGGTTTAAAACACTGTCCAGGCGATTTTTTTTCTTCGCGTTCGCGGGAAAACCTTTGCGTTCGCGAAGGGAAATTGTTCGCGTTGACCGTTCAACCCAAACTTCCTTCTTCGCGTTCGCGGGACCTCTCTCGCGTTCGCGAAGAACAAAATCCGCACCAAAAACCAGCAATTTTTTCCAACACGGAAATGAGCATAACTCTCTCATACAACATCGGAATTTGGTGATTCTTGTTGCTATGACTCCGTAATTACGATACGGATCTAATGGTTCAATACAATCACAAATCAAAGGTCGTTTTCTCAATATGTTACTTTTTATTCCCAAAGAAACGACGTTGAAACATCAAATAAGAGCGCGATACAACCCAAACACATCCGAGGCCCCGTCCAATCACACCAACCCACTCCATAACATAACACGGACCTGATCGAGGCCTCAAATCATACCAAATAACATCTAAACTACGAATTGCACATCGATTCAAGCGTTATGAACTATTGAACTTCTAATTTCCACATTCCATGCCGAACCTATCAAATCACGTCCGATTGACCTTAAATTTTGCACACAAGTCACATTTGACATTACGGACCTACTCCAACTTCCGGAATAAAATCCGACTCCGATTTCAAAAAGTCCGCTCCCTGTGATCCAAAAACCGCCAACTTTCGCCAAATGATCCGAAAATGACCTACAAACCTCCAAATCCACACCCGGACGCGCTCCTAACAATAGAATCACTATAAGGAGCTATTCCCAGGCTTGGAATTCCAAACGGACATCGATAACATTAAAATACACTGGAACCCAAATTTATGAAATTCTTCCAAAATGCCAACTTTCCATAATAGGCGCCAAAATGCTCCCGAGTCATCAAAAACCCGATACGGATATACGCCCAAGTCCAAAATCATCATACGAACATGTTGGAACCTTCAAATCTTGATTCCGAGGTCGTTTATTTAAAAGTCAAACCTTAGTCAATTCCTCCAACTTAAAGCTTCCGAAATTAGAATTTTCTTTCCAAAATCAACTCCAAACTTCGCGAAATACAATTTTGATCACATGTACAAGTCATAATACTTGAAGTGGAGTTACTCAAGGCCTCAAACCGCCGAACGTCGTACTAGAGCTTAAAACGGCCGGTCAGGTCGTTACATTCTCTCCTACTTAAATATACGTCGTCCTCGAACGTGCTAAGAACTGCTCCGGAGTTTTCCAAAATCACTGTTTAACACCTCGTGCACCTACCCGTGCCACCACAACCCAGTTTAGTACATTAGCTCGAGCGAGACTGAAGATCCTTCCTGCTACCTTAGCTAGCACGCTTTAGAGCCAAGTTCCAACATCCGGAATTTCTCCACAATACCAGATTCTAACACACGAACACCATATTAATCACCAGACACTGAACCCAGTATGACCATGATCCTCTGCTGAAATCACACCATGCACCACATAATTCATTTGCCCAAGGCAATCTCCTCCAAGCACAACGGCCGAAATTTCCACTGACCCGAAGCCTGTAGTATACCTCATAACATATATAAGCCCTTTTCCAACTCTGGCAATACTGCCACGACGGAAGAGATTTGTAGAAACTCATAACCATCTGCCGAATCACAAATCATGGAGTCTCTCCTCCTGACAAGAACCATTACTTCGTTCTGAACTGGACACCGATATTTGCTCTTTAATATACCTTATATAAATCTGCTCGCACTGATCACAGGTCCAATAATCTCGTCTCACCCAGTACAAGCTGCTCAGTCAATAAGCCACCTCAGACACTGCCAAAAGTCTTATATGATGCCACAATGTGCCAATAAGCTACAAACTCGAATGTGATACATGAGGAAAAATAAAATCTGGAAAGAACTACTCAACCCATGTAACTAATTAAACAACCGAAAAGATGTTATGAACCTTCCTTAGAAAATGAGAAACAAAACACATAAGAATAGATATAGGGGATTGTACTCAACATCACACTGTCGCAGCGTGCAACCCGATCCACCCATGATACTGTTACGGCGTATAACCCGATCCACATGATACCCGTGGCGGCGTGCCACCCGATCCAAACAACATAGCCGTGGCGGCGTGCCACCCGATCCTAACATAATAATCTATAAGGAAGTACCTACCGAGCCAGAATGCT